TTATTCAGTTACTATAATCTGGTATTCAAGATTTAACAATTCATGCCAGCTGTATGAGATAAATATGCAAGTACTTCAAATGCGATGGGCAAAATAAAAGCATGTTATCATTTATTTTTTCTAAATTCTTGACATAACCAAAACTACTCTTCTATTGCAAGAACTATTTGTTTTTATTGTAAAAGTTGATATTAATTTTTGAATGTTTTATTTATTTCTGAGAGAGAGAGAGAGAGAGACAGCATGAGCAGGGGAGGGTCAGAGAGAGAGAGGGAGACACAGAATGTGAAGCAGGCTCCAGGCACTGAGGTAGCTGTCAGCACAGAGCCCAATGTGGGGCTCGAACCCACGAACCGTGAGATCATGACCTGAGCTGAAGTCGGACGCTTAACCAACTGAGCCACCCAGGTACCCCTAAAAGTTGGTAATAAAACTTTTGTATGTTTAATAATGCATCTATACATTTCTGAGTTATAATGGCTGTAAACTAATGGTATTTAAATTGTTATCACTCACCATCAAAGAAGTATTAGAAAGTTGCAAAGAATGAACATAATGTAAATATTATTCAATTGCTTATTTAGTTACTAAAGTATGTGTGTCCCCTTGGTTTCCATTATTATCCATTGTATTGACATAGAAGTTAGATTTGAAACCACAGTTATAACTAACACACTGTCATTTTCTATGTGCTAGTCATGCTCCTAAGAAGCTGACACATTCTAAATGGTGTGTGTGTGTGTGTGTATGTGTGTTATCAAATTTATGCAGTAGGTACTACTATCATTGCCTTTATATATATATATATATAAACCTTTATATATATATATATAAACCTGAGTCACAGAAACTTTAAATAACTTGGCAAAGGCTAACAGGTCATAAGTAATAGAGGTGCAATTTGAATCCAACATCTATAATCAAAGTTCTTAACCATAACCGTTACACTTTGATCATTAAAAAAAAAAGATTATTTTGAAAAAAACATACTAGGACTTCATCACTTTGGAGCCACTCACTCCTTTCCATTTCTCTTTTGATCTTCTGAAATGCATATACTATCTCAATCTTTGTTGATTTCTTCTAGATCCTCAGCTGCCGATGAGAAATCTACTAGTGCACTACCATACATTTTATCAACCTCATAAAAAATTCTTTTGAAAAGTCCAAAATTTCACTTTGTTATCAAGTTGTATTTCATAGTTGGATATTTTCAACATACAAAAAGTACCCCCAAACTGAAAGACTAAATGTAGAGTTACAGATGTTTATGTTAAGCTAGAGTGGTAAAGAGATGGATTGGATGTGATTTATTTCTATAACCAGACAGTTCATTTTAGCAGATATTTTCTTGCTCTGACATGTTGTTAGCTGTGATACTAAAGATCCTTCTCTTTTAACTATTACTTTTTAATGCATTTTTTCCTCTCAACTAGAAAGGCTTCTGTGTTCTAATTTATGTGAAAATCTGGAAAAAAAATCCAAACAACTCTAGAGCATATATTCATTATGTGAAATAAAAATAGAATGTGTGTAGCCAGCCTTCATGTTGCAATTATAAAACCTCAAAGCCAAATTATATTATTTAATTTTTACTTGTCACTGACAGTATCTTGCATTTCTGCTAATAACACCTTGTAAATTATTAACAATGACCATTAAGATCTTTTCCCCTTTTACTCTTTAAGTTAAATTATTTGAAAATACCATGATGATATATGTTTCTGCATTTATTAATAAAACCATATATATTATTGGTTATAATACTTGGCAAACCGTTCTTAAAAAGTACCTGTAATCTAAAAATACACAAGTCAAAAACGGTATTTGTGCCATACACCTCTAGGTGTTTATTATATCTTTTCAAGAGTGCTGGTTATAACCTTCTGTTGTTGTTCTTGTTGTTGTTTAATTTCTGTTTGTTTTGTTTTTCATAGTTGATTACTGACAGATGAGATACTGATATTTTCACAACATAGTAGGTGGGCATGACTTCTGTACTATGGGATGTATTCAGAAGGAAGCTGGTAAACCTCCCAGATCTTTCCTTGCATGTACCTCATGGGTGGCCAAGATAGAAATGGGTTTCTGAAGATAACTTTCAGATGAGTTGGAAGGGGACTTTTCAGACATAAAGTGAGTCCAAATAGAAGGTAAAAGAGAAATCACAACTAAATTTTGTAGCAGATGAACTTCATTATGGGTTGAGTTGTACCTTCTCAAAAGATATTTTAAAGACCTGATCCTGTGTACCTCAGAAGATAACATTTTTTTTTAGAAATAGGATTGTTGAAGATGTAATAAGATAAATGAAAATGAGGTCATATTGGAGTAGAGTGGTCCCTTAATCCAATATGACTGGTGTCTTTTCAGAAAAGGCATGGGCTTGTGAGACAGGCACACAGAGTGTGCTATGTGACTGTAGAGGCAGAATGATTATTTTACATTTTATTTATTAATTTTGAGAGAGAGAGAGAGAGCATGAGTGGGGAAGATGCAGAGAGAGAGAGAGAGATTGAGAATCCCAAGGAGGCTCTATGTTGACAGTGGGATCTCATGAACCATGGGATCATGACCTGAGTAGAAATCAAGAGTGGGATGCTTAACTAATTGAGACATCCAGGCACCCTGAGGCAGAATGATGTTATCTCCAAACCAAGGAATCCCAAAGAATGCCTAGCACTACCAGAAGCTGAAAAAGACAAGCAAAGATCCTCCTACAGTTACTTAAAATGTGCATGGATTAGTCAACTCCTTGGTTTTAGACTTTGAGCTCCTAGAACTGAGGGGCAGGTTGATATAGCCACTGACTTTCTGTTATTTTGTTATGGCTGCCCTAGGAAACGAATACTAACTTGACTGTAGCAGAGACTTGAAATAGGTATAAGTTGCTGTCACTGCCATTTTCTAGTGAGTAGCAATTTTCCATTTGGATTTAGATGTAGGTACTGTGATAATAACTGAATTTGGTCAGATTATGTTTTGTACTCAACCAATGATTACAATGGTGCAGATATGTTCATAAAAACTAACAAATGTATGTAAAAATATATAATGATATATAATACATAATAGAAGCAGAAGCAAAAACACAATATATTCCAATATATCAGGGCCACATAGATCAAGGTGATAGCCTGAATTATAAATTGATTTTAATTAACTATGACATTTCTTATCATTACTATAAATATAAAATTCTAAAGAGTTTCATTCTTGAAAACTAAATCATGAAGTAAATGATAACATAGGTATCTTAATTAAAAGTTTTCTAACTTTACTCTAAAATTCCAGAGTTCAATTCTTTAAATCCCAATGTCTGGATTTAGTAACTACTCAATAAATGCAGGCTGAATTAAAGAAGATAATGAAAATGATATATATTTTAATTAACTAGAATGGCAAGAACTGTAATTAATTTACTTACAAAGGCACTTTGATATAAAGTCTTGAAACTAAGTTACGCTATTCCAAAGCCTAGAAATCCTTGCATAATCAAACCAATATTCCACAATGTCAGATTCTTTAAATAAACCATAAAATTAACCATAAGAGATGAATGGCATGGTGTTATGGAGATAAACTTTTGGATTTTTTCAACTATATTAACTGCTAAGCACTGTAGCAAAATCCACCTTAATACACCCTTTGAGGACAATTACAAAGTCAAAAAATTCTTCAGTGCTATCACCATTTTCCTAGATTGGTTACCCTTTAAGGAGATTGGCTTCTTTTCTCCATTACTCCCTAAAACTTATATACATTTTTGGAGAAACTTTATGTCTCTTATATCACATTTCTATACTATCTACAACTAGTTTAGTTTCTTAGATCTGGGAATTATAATTTCCTTCAAACTGTTCTGTCTGTCTTCATGACACACATAAAACTATTTCTATTTTTTTTTTCCAAAATGGCTCAGGTAAATATCTGTTGTTTATTCAAATAGTCTCTTTACTTGCAAGTTTCTTTTTCTTTCTTGCATTTGGTACAATTTTCAAATGGTGAAATTTAATAATGTGGATTTAAAATTAGACCTAGATTAACTATATCCTAATTGATATTTGATAATTCAAAAAATAAAATATGTCAGAGATTTAATACCTTCTTAAATGATGTATTTATATCATGTTATAGAATAGTTCCCTTGAATAGTGGATACACAAGTTTTTACTGACTGATAGAAAATTAAACATTATAAAAGCTTCAGAATATATCTGAAGATATCTTACAAATTTTGTAAAAGAACTGATGATTCCCTAAGGTATTTAAGGTACAAAACCTATCAAAAGTAATTATCTTCTTTTTGAACTCTAGAACATCATATAAGTGTTATTTGAAAATAATACTGCTGTTGGAGTAGTGTTAGAAGAAAAACAACACCAAAACCCAAAAACCAACCAACCAACCAACCAACCAACCAACCAACCAAACAGCCCTAAAATGGAATTTCCTAGGCCAAATCGTCAAACTGGGGTTTAATTCATAATCTGCAGTTCAACCTCCCCAAGATATGTAGTCCTTACAAGTCAGTCACAAATTTTTCAGTCAACACCAATGGGTCTGCCACTGGTCCTTTTCCTTCCCCCAAAAGGTTATAAGGTAATCTACATTATAATAGCCCTTGCTTTTCCAGCTAAGGGAAAGCAGACTTGAATGGAAAAATCCTTCTCTTTTGCTAATAATTTTCACTCACTCTCTTGCAAAAACTTTCCATTTTGTACAGTTTCCCAAATGCCTCTCTATTTACTAGTTGGGATGCTGTCCAATTCATGAATTGTTTAATAAAGCCAATTATATCTTTAAAATTGACTCCATTGAATCAAATCTTGATTATTTAACAGTAGTTGAATTTTACTCTTAAAAATATGTTTTGTCCACACTCTCACATAATACAGATTAAATGCATATTTTATTAATATAGAATAAATCCACACAGATATAAATAAACTGTACATGCCATTTTTATATAAACTTGTTAATTTGATCATTAATCATACCTGAGTTAGTTCATTAATATCTACAAGTCTGTTACTGTCGGCATCAAAATATTTAAACATTTGATCCACCAACAACTTCTTCCAAGATAGGTCATCACCGTTAGGGTTTTCATTTTCTTGTGTAATATATTTTTGATTTTGTAAATCTAAAAGCATGCTTTTCATCTTGCTGTATTCAGTGGCCTTGCAGTTATTTCCTGTAACAAAAGAAGTAAGTTATTTTCAAGGCAATATTATTGAAAAGGAAGCATTTATTGTATTAATGTTAAGAAGCTGATATCTTATAAATACTACAGTTGGTACATAATTTTATCCTCCTACTTTGCATACTTTACAACTTGTACACGGTTAAAATAATAAGCTATTTTCATTTACATCAAATCTAATTAAAACATTTACTGTGTGTTTTCTCTATGCTAAAGCAATTGGTTCTATGGGGGCAGAGAAAAACATGATAGCTCCAATTGTTTAAATACATTGTCTTAGTTTTTTTATGTTTCTTTAAAGGTCTACTTAAATTTTTTTTGAGAGAGAGAGAGCGAGTAGAGGAAATGCAGAGAGAGGAGACAGAATCTGAAGCAGGCTCTGGTCTGTCACCACAGAGATTGAAGAGCCCAAGAAGGGGCTAGAATCCAGGAACTATGAGATAATGACCGGAGCGGAAGTCAGATGCTTAATGAACTGAGCTACCCAGGTGACCCCATTATCTTAGTTTTAATCCTCACTGTACATTCCTATATAGATAGTTTCAACAGTTTGAACATGAAGTACAGGGAGATGAAATAACTTGCCCCAGGCGAAGGGTTAGATTGTGTTGGATTTTGCACTTGAACTCATAGATATCTATTTTCAAACTAGGGTAGCATATTTTTAACTGGAAGTATGCTTTTTACATTTGAATTTGTTTTGAAGATGTTTGTATGTGTGTGTTTACATTTTAAAAATCCTATTCCCAATTATACTAAGTTCATACTTGTATTCTTCCAAAAGACTTTACTTATTTTTTCTGATATTCGTTTATCTCTCCTTTTAGAGCACAGTGTATAACATGATATATATTTGTATTTTGTATCTCCAAGTTTTAACTTTGCAAATTTCATCTCCATAAATGAAGTATAAGCTCATTGCACTACCAATGCACCACAGATCTTCAGTATTTCTTATAAAATAAGGAGGACAATACTGGCAACATCAGAGTTAGTGAAAATAATTGCTTAGCTTAATGTCTTCAAAAATAACTGCAATTGCTCTAATATCTTCACATAATTCTCTTACAAAGAAATTTTCTTACACTGGCCCCTGTGATAATGTCTTTAAATTGTACATTGAAAAGTAGTGTATACTACTAATAGCAAATGTGATATATATATTATAGAAAATACAGTGCCTTATGTAATTCGTAAATGAAAAGAGTAGGTATTATATTGGCCGATAATTTTTACAATGTACTTTTAGAGAATATACAAACTTTATAATTGCTGTCAACGTTGACAATTAGGCTTTAACAGAATCTACAATTTTAAAAGATTTCTAAAGATTTTTAAATATATGTCTGAGAAGTATGGAGTTGAAAAACAGGATTTAAAGTCTCATTCTCTTTCAAGACAAGTTGGAAAACAATCTCTTCTAGAGAGATGAGAGACTGTCTTATGTTTTTAAAGTCAGTGAAATAACGACTGTTTTTCATCAATTTTAGTGTTTAGCAATGCTGTCAAGAACTTCTTTTTTTACAACAAAATGTAAACTTTGTGCTGCAGATTAAGTCAATTTTGCATTATTCCATTCTCAATAAAAAATAATACTAAAAGTGTTTTCATAATAGCTAAGAAATCACTGACAGAAGAGAGAAGTAATCAAATTCAGAGGGATAGGTAGCAATTTTGGTGTCCATGAAAGTGGCACAAAAGAAGCCTTCAAATATGTGTGCCTGTGATTCTGTGTGTGTGTATGCAACAGGAAGAGAGAAATGTGTGATAAAAGAATGAGAAAAAGGATAATAGACCATCCCAATAGCCCTCCCCAGGATTTCTGTATTTGACCTTGGGTCTATATTTCCTTTGCTACTGAGTAGGGTGGAGTTTGGGGGAGCTGATCTCGGGCCATAGACAATGTGGAGACCAGAATGTTGGTGAGAGACAATGGGAATCAGGGCTTAAATACTGAACACCAATTAACTAACATTTAAAATTTGAGGAACAAGGATACAGTTTGAGTTGTTACACTCTAATTTTTGATCAAATTGAGTAATGTGATCATCATCATGCTCCTAGTAATACTTTCATTTCTCAACTTGTAAATTTCTTTGAAATTTAGGTGGTTGCTGGCAGTCCAAAGAATAAAAAAAGCATGGTCATTAAGGCATTTACAGTCTATGGAAATACACGAGAAGTAGTTTTGCACTTATGTAAAACTTTGTGGAATTTATAGATTTAATAAAATTTCTGTCATAGATTTTTTTAGCAATAAATAGGAACATCTGCTGTTAACAATAAATTACATGTCATGCCGATTTTTTATGTATTGGGAAGTTTATACATATTAAGTTAGTTAAATCTCACAATAATCCCAGAAGAAAGACAATACAACTATCACCATTTTATAGATAAAGAATCTAAATACCTTGTTCAAAGTTACGAGCTAGAAGGGAGCAGAGTGATTTTTCTATACAAGCAATATCCCTTTTATCCTTTATTCTTTGCTTCTCTTATCTTCAGAACTGAGTTTTGAGATCAACTTATACATGGGGCTCAGTAAATTTGCCCAAGGATTATTTATAAAGTAAAGACAGATATCATAATAGAGAAAAAAGAACTCAGAACTCAGAAAAAGAAAATGGTCTATCTGAGAAGTAGTAGGAAAATAAGTACTAAAGAGGAAGGTAAAAGGAAAAGAACTTCTCAAGACAGAGGGTCTAATGAGATGATAAATGTTTCAGAGTAAAAGTAAGATAAACAATAAAACATGCCCATTGAATTCCTTAAACTGTAGCTAACTGGTTATTTTAAAGAAAATTTTTAGCAAATAAATGGAGCATTTGTTTAAAAATCTGGAATCTCCTTTTTTATTATATGCCTCTTTCCCATTAGAATTGGTATTTTTCTATTTTGTTTCAATTTCAGTATATGTAACATACAGTGTTATATAGTGAGTCAACACTTTGATGCTTTACCCAGTGCTCGTCATGACAAGTGCACTCCACAATTCCATCACCTGTTTCACCGATCCCCCCACTCACCACCCCTCTGGTTACCCTATGTTTGTTCTCTATTAAGAGAGAAGAGAATTAAGAGTGTTTCTTGGTTTCCCTCTCTTTTTATTCTTTGTTTTGTTTCTTAAATTCCACGTATGAGTGAAATCACATGGAATATGTCTTTCTCTGACTTATTTCTCTTAGCATTATACTCTCTAGCTATATCCATGTCATTGCAAATGGCAAGATTCATTCTTTTTTATAGCTGAATCATATTCATTGAATATATATATACATTTATATATCGCATTTTCTTTATCCATTTTTCTGTTGATGGACACTTGAGCTGCTTCTGCAATTTGGCTTTTGTAAATAATGCTGCAACAGACATAGAGGTTCATGTATCCCTTTTAATTAACGTTTTCTGTAGTTTTGAGGTTAATACCCAGTAGAGTGATTACTAGATTATAGGGTAGTTCTGTTTTTAAATTTTTTTAGGGACCTCCATACTCTTTTTCATAGTGCATGCACCAATTTGCATTCCCACAAACAAGGCATAAGTGGTTCTTTTTCTCCAAATTCTCACCAACACTTGTTGTTTCTTGTGTTTTTCCGTTAGCCATTCTGACAGGTACGAGGTCATATCTTATTCTTGTTTCAATTTGTATTTCCCTGATGATGAATGATGCTGAACATCTTTTCATGTGCCTGTTGGCCATCTGTGTGTCTTCTTTGGAAGAATGTCTGTTCATGTCTTCTTTCCATTTTAAGTTGGATTATTTACTCTTGGGTGTTGGGTTGTATAAATTCCCTATAAAATTGGGATACTAACCCTTTATCAGACATGTCATTTGCAAATATCTTCTAAATGGAGTAGAATTCTTATTATAATGGGTTAAGGAGGAAAAACAGTGAAGATTTGGAATTATTAAATATTTACTACTATTTTTAGTGAAAGGAAAATAACTTGAATTATTAATGAAGCAGTATAAATATTAAGAAATAAATATCAATTAATAGGTATTTGGAAATCATGGACTTATCCATGAATAACATAAGGCATCGGGGTAAGAAATTTTTGTTTGTCTGTTTTGATAAGATGCCTTTCTCAAAGATTAATCAACAAGCAGTGTTAGATTGGTGTAGCTAAGAGAAAGAAATATTTTCCTGGATTTGCCTCCTATTCTGGGAGAGTAGTGAGAGATCTCCTCTACTGTCCCTGGTTTAGACACTGAGAACAAGACAAATGAGATCCTATTGTTGGTATATATACCATCATACGTCCCATGAATGCAGTGACACTGAGACTGTTTTGATTCTTGATTCAGTCATTCAAAGGGGAGTTAAAATCCATCTGGCCTTGAGGGGCTGGGAAGAATATAGAATCTCTGACATTCAAATTGCTGCACCTGTGTAGTTAGCTGGCAATGCCTCTCCAAGTCTGTATGGAACCAATGATAATTACATTTTATATATCCTATAGTACATCCATCTGTTTGAGGACATGATAAGTGCTAAAAATTATAGATTATATCAATTATCCTTAGTGTTATGCTTTCCAAAAACTGTTTTCATCTTTTTGAAATTACACTTTTATCCCTCCCCCATCCATCAATAAAAACTACCTATTCCTTCAACACAAAGATATTCAAATCTAAATATATAAGAATATTATTTTCCTTTTTGACATTTATAGTTAGAATTCGATTAATTTCATTCTAATATAAGCTAAAATCTTAGATATTCAAAGAATAAAAATTGAATGTTTGTATTTTAATGTTAATTCTAATCATGCATTCGAATGTATATTGGAACTCTTTTTTCCTTAAATGATTCAACAATTGTTAATAAAATCCTTTCACACATTTTATTTATTTATTTCAAAGTTTATTTTGTCATTTACTTTTGAAATGAGAGAGAGAGAGAGTTGGGAGGAAGGGGCAGAGAGAGGAAGAGAGAGAATTCCAAGCAGGTTCCGCATTGTCAGTGAAGAGCCAAATGCAAGGC